TCTTGTGTTGTTAAGCGAGGAGCTGTTGAGTCTTCAATTAGGAAGACATCTGCTGCTGTATGGCAGTCTGATGCCATTGATCAGCTCAGTACTGTCACAAACAAATCTGGTTCGTAGCTCATCTATCATCCTGTCAAGACATTGATAGAAAATGTTGTAACTTAATTCCTAGAACTCACACGAGTCCTTATGCCTGAGGAGGACTCCACCATAGTGGCATTCCAAATATGCACTAACCTCCGTGCACATTGCATATAACAACACGAATCACCTCCACGTCAAATGTATTTTATTAGTTAAGTTGAAATATTTTTTTTTTCCATTTCACACTTTTAACAATCGCAGTTTCAAAATTCAGGGGAGAATACATTAGTGTCTTCCTTACAGGGGTCTGCTTCCTGTCTTTTGTTTTCTTCAAAGTGCAGCACTTTGAATTGGTGATATTGATTGCCCTTGGTCTTCAGAGTGCAGACAGTCTTTGTACACTGACATATTAAGTAAGAGTTTGGGATTTTTGAATCAGCTTTCATTAATTTATAAATAGACCTTAACAATAACATTTATACAATGGTTATGGTGTATAACATGGATAACAAAGGTCATATTATGTCAGGTAAGGTCAAGTGAGTTAAGACTTCCTTTCTGCTTATTCACATAAATAACCTTTCCCCACCACCAGTTCAAATGCACATGTGTTAGTTATTCAGACTAAGCATTTTTTGTGTTTTAAACAATTAATTTTATTTGGGTTCATTCACGTTAGCAATATATATATAACGAACAATATATACTGTATCTATCCAACAAACTGGTTAGTGAATGTTAACTATCTTTCCAACAAGCTGACTAGCAAACATTTCTCTATCAAATTAGCTAGCAAGCATTAGATATGTAAGATAATAAAATAAACATTCAAAGAAAAAATACATGAATAAAAGTTACAGTGCAGTTTAAGATATGAATAGCTCAATTAAAAGCAGCGACAAAAAGAAAAGTCTTCAGCCTGGATTTAAAAGTAGTCAGAGTTGCAGCGGACCTGCAGGTTTCTGGTAGTTTGTTCCAGATATTTGGAGCATAATAACTGAACGCTGCTTCTCCATGTTTAGTTCTGACTCTGGGGACAGAAAGCTGACCAGTCTCTGAAGACCAACAGATGTAATGCTTTTTCATTGTTTAAAATCATTAAAAATGGAAGCTGTTGACAGTGAGGTTTGTGGATAACTCTGTTCGTGTCGCAACAGAATGTCATTTTTCAAAGCTGTGAACATCAATTACAACAATTACAATTAAATAACTATTATATTTATTTATTTAATTTCTGCCCTCAGATTTTACCTTAATCTTGCTATAAAAATAACTCACAGCCTCCTATTCTGTCTTTGGTTTCCTGTTTTATATTTATTTTAGTTTTAGCTTTTTAGAGCAAGTACAGTACATACTGTGAAGCTTGTACAGAAGTATCCATATTCATGGCTGCATATGTAATGCACATATACTGTATTTAAAAAAATCATTGCAGATGAAACACACATAGGAAGACTGTAGCAGAGACATATAACATATAAGATGTCACATAGGCAGCCAATTTACAGCTCAATCATTTCAGCTCAACACTCTTTCACCAGACATTGCAGCGCCATGAGGAGACATAAAAGGAACCCACTCAGATGCTCTGATTGAGGACAAGCAGCAGTGGTGGGGAACCAGAATATGCGATGTCTTGTTTGATGCTGTGAATGTGTTGCCTCATCCACCACTACTTTGTTTGGGGACTCTGGGATTTGTGGTCAGGGATTACAACAGGCCACAAAGGCAACTTCTGAAGCAGCCGATAACAGCAGACAGTCGCTCGGGCTGAGGAGAGCGGCCAGCAGTAGGGGTCCCAAACATGCAAATCTGTGCAATGACTAACACAGAAATGTTGCCACTGAATGGGAAGGACAAGTGGGCACTCTGTTGCACTGTTTTCAGTTATTGTAGTAACTGTTTGATGTTAAGCATACTATTTCCTTTTATTCATTGGTTGAAACTTGGAGTGTTTAAGATTCCATCCTTGTTCCACACTCAAGGTAATGAAATCCAACACATGGACTTCTTTTTCAAGTGTTGGTCCATTTAATCTATTTCATAAAATGAAATTCAAATCATTGTTTCCTTCACCTTGAGTGTCCCCTCCTTGGTCTATCAGGTGCAGACTAAATCCGACATCTTACATTAATTTCACCAAACTGATTTGATTCCTCAATGTTAAAATAAAATCATTTAAGCAATGTGTTTTTTTTCTTGACTAATGCCTCACAGAGATCAAGATATAAATCATTCAAAAGATAACAGTTATAGACCAATGCATTCATATTATCAAAAGAAAAAAAAGGAAAGGAAATACAAATGTTGCACATCCTTGAGTGGTGTAATGGACTTTCATGTTTCATACAGCATAATGTCTCTTAGCCAGTGTTAAAAGGAAGGTGGAGCTGTGTCCTTCTGTTTGGGCAAGATAACTCAGCGAGCTAATACAGAGAGCAAAGGCAGCTGTGTCTTCTTTTACTTTTGGGCAGATGTAGTTCATCTGGAGCCGAGCCAAAGACAGCACACAAAGGACTGCATGCGCCAAATGTGGCTGCAAACACATTTCTGATAAAGTACGAAAAACAAAAGTCCAACACTAAGATGCACTGAGGCAGAACAAGTACTTGTAAATGATTGAGAAATGAACACACACACACACACACACACACACACACACACACACACACACACACACACACACACACACACACACACACACACACACACACACACACACAAAAGTGGGGTACACCGCTGGGAAAGTGCAGGTTTGTTTTAGTGGCATGGAATATGTTGAACTAGCCTACAGCAAACATAAACAGACAGCAACAACTGAAAGATACTCAACGAGTTCAACGTTTCTAAATACATACATCCAACTAGTTCAAGGGGCCCTATGCGTTTTGGGTTATCTCTCTTCTGTTGTGTATAGGCTTTTGTGCATGTAAATGGTCTTCAAAGGCTAAGGGGCGAGACATCTCTAAGCGGTTGATCAATCACAACAGAGCCAGATAACCAATCAGAGCAGACTGCGGGCTCTGGTTTCAGGCTGAAAAGAGGTGCTGCAGAAAAAGGCAGTATGAGAAAAAAAAGAAGACCTTTTTGAACATTAAAGCATGTAAACAGGTCACAGTAGAGGCACAGAATACAGTTATGAAACCTGAAAATTATGAAATTATGAGAACCTGGCACAGAAGACAATTATGAAATGTGAAAATGACCCCTTTAAATTCAAATCTGAGCTTTACTTGTACTGTAGTTGAATGTTTCAATTTCATGCCACACACCACTATATCAGTACATATTTTACAGGTGTAGTTAGGCTAAAGGTCACTTTACAAATGAGGATTTTACATTCAAAAAAGCTTATATAATATGATGCATCGTTAGATATTAAACTCCCCAAACATGTGCAGAACTAGAGCTGAAACATTAAGTTGATGAATTACGCAAATGTATGTAATAGAGTCAAATGCTTCTGCCTTAAATCAAGTGAGCTGACAAATGTGTCGATAGAATATCCATTGGGTGAACAATACAAGCATGTCCACTTTTAATCATATATAATTAAGTATTTTGTGTTGTTTTGTTACGTACTACCCCACTGTGTTCATGAACCTGGTCATGTTATACTCAATTTTTTCTTGTTGTCTATAATCTTCCTAAAAGTCCAAAACCATTTTGATCTTATAGTCCACTTCTCCATCTCTGTGATTTTATACCCTGTTTGTGGCTCTTATCCTTAGTCGTATTTGTCTTTCCTGCTGAAAATGCAAATCACAAGGCTCACAATATAGTTTCCTTTTAAAAATGGCTCCCTAAAACAGGTGGTCACTGCAGTTTTAAGGCAATGTTCCTCTAACAGGAGTAAATGGTGCATTTTTTTGTTACTATTTTCAGAAACAGGTTAATACGTGTTGCTCTGAGTGTTTACAGCAGCAGGCGGTGTAGGTGGAATCGACTCAAAACAAAGTAAAGTGCCAGTGATCATTGTAATAAAGGAACCTCTCAACAGTGCACATTGATGTGTTTTTAATCAAAGAGGGATTAAGCTTTATCAGGCTTCGTGTACACCAACAATACTTATTAGGGATCAGAACAAACATTAAATACCACAATATGTGTCCTTTACAATGTTTTTTCAGGTCAGAGAATAATTCAGTTAAAACAAGGACATTTACCTTAGATTCCCTGTCTGTTACACTCCCAAGCCTCTGACCTTCCCCAAATAATCATACTTCTATTAAATGTCACAGTGTGAAACTACATCCAAATCTTTCCAAATCTTTCATGTGGAAAATTCCAAATGGGGATAGTTTATGTTCTGGGAAACATCAGGATGGTTGAGTTTGAGTTTGACTGACACCTTGCAAATACTTTTTGCAACCAACCATTACTCAACTTCGTCTCTAAACCAAAACTGAAATCTTTTGGCGGTATGAGGATATGTCAAATGGGTTTGGAGCAATTATCTGAATGCTGAAGGTGAAGGAAAAACTAATTATCTAAGTTGATCCTTTTTTTCTTGGTTCAGAGGAGAGCTGTAGTGTTCACCCTTGCAGAAAAATATAGGATCTAATTATAATAATCACGCTGCTCCTGGCAATGTACCCACCATCATCTCATATAATTTTAAATGTCGCAGCCATGTGGCAAGCTGACAGATGGGAGCTAATCTTAAATAGAAATAAGCAAACTAGTTGTTGCCCTTTAAAGAGTCCCACAGGTTGTTTACCTTAAAAGTGCATTTCATATTCCTATTTCAATTATAGGAATATTGTGGGATTATGTTGAAGTGGTGTGTGTGTGAGGGTGAGAGAGGGGGGCGTGCATCTTCAGCATCACCCCCATGACGTCACCAGAGTTTAAAGTGGGCCGCGCTCCACCAGAGAAGGAGAGGAGAGAGAAGAGGCAGGAAGCAGCGGCAGGTCCCCTCACTACACCTGACTTCTGCCCGCCGTGCGTGCTGCACAACGCCGCTCTGAACCCCACAAACAACCTGCTTTAACCCAGCAGCATTTTGAGTTGATCACCAATGATACATGGAAGCCCGGGTCGCACCGTGGACCCGCTGAATGCTGTTTTGTCGAGGGCGATAACTTTCAATCTCAAGTCTCCAGACGGGTGAGTTTTTTTTCGCCAAACAAAAAGGGCTTTGACTTAATCGGCAGAGGATGCTAATAATGCTGCAGTGTTGTCTGTCGCCACCCCTTTACAGTATCTGTTGATAAAACAGCTTTTCAGTTGTTTTTTAATAGAGATTTGTCACATTTTTAGTTTGTGTTTTGGACGCAGCCCGCAGTAAGTTGCGGCGCAGTCTCTTGGCATTTATGGAGCCTGCTGCTTGCTGGCTGCTTGGTGTGACAAATGGTGCTTTCTATTTAATTAGGCGATTGGCGAGTCTATACTATGGAAATGTGCGTACTTTGCCAAATAAATCCATCCAGAGAGTTTTATAATTCTGCAGACATGCTATTGTTTATGTTTTTTTTGCACGGCTTGAAGACTGCGTTTTTATGCCAGGAATGCTATTAGTTTGAAGACGCAGAGATTTTAAAGTATGTCGTTCAAGGAATGCTAATGCTGCAGAACTGTGTTAAAATTGTTGGTTTCAACTGCTTCAATGCCAACTCTGCTTGGATGAATTATGGTGGGTTTATTCATAAGTTATGTGACTGTAGCTGATCATAATAGACCTATTGCATTTCTTGCTTCCCCTGGAATACAAATCATTTCTCATTAACATTGGTTGAAGAAGCCCCTGTGACTCAAATGTCTTTCTCAATTCTAGCTGAATTTCTCGGTGGAATTCCAACATTTGTTGTGTCTATCAAAGTCATGATGAGTGAATCAGCCAGCTGTGATCAACAACATGATTCAGTCTAGAAAGACCCCATGCTGTATGTTATGTCAATTTTGAGCCACTAGATGACAACATAGTGCAAGCTAAAGCAGCTGATTAAACTTTCATTAGTCTATTGGTCAATGAGCAGATCTGCACCATGGTTAAATAATGAAATCACTACTGCTGTTGATTTATTTTAGCAAAAAAAACAACATAAACAGACGAAGGTGGCTCTTGCTAAATAACATTTTTTTTTTAAACGACTGGCAGATACAGGAGGGGCACTGACACACACGGACGGTCTCATTTGAAGCCCAGTAGATACTGTTGTTTTTCCTGTTGGAGCTGCATGCACTGTATCCCACACTCTGGGTTGCCCGCATTATAGCAATTTGTCATAAAGTCATTTATCATAAATGTGCCTTGGCACTGACTCCAGCAATGCAGGATTTGTTTTGAACCTGAGAGTGACACTTTGTACAAGATGTATAAGTTCATGTTTTCAACACCGATTTTCTTCCTTACCCTTTGATAACTTTATTTCCATAATTCTTTTAAGTTTTTTGAGTATTTAACGGTGACACATGTCGTTTTTAATCACTTCCCAATTTTTAGATTCTACATTATTTCCCCTATAATAACCACCCAAATCTTTCACTGTGCACAAATGAATAATTCACATCATTTAAAGTATTTGGCCTTTTTGTATTTCAACGAGTTTAAAAGTCAAAGCTATTTCAAATCCACTAAAGCAACAAATAAAGACAGTTCTGATTTCTAAAATGTGGACTAAACCTTTTTATTATTATTTTTTATTTGTTTACTCCTACAGAGCCTTTATTTTGGAAGTCAAACAAATCCACATATTATGTATAATATAGTTATGTAATTGTAATGTTACTGTCATGTAAAAACTGTGTCTCTACAATATGTTAACCATTAACCTGAGTATAAATAGCCACATGGTTTTCTGTTTGAAATTGTAATTTTCAGCCAATCAAGTAATTTATTTATTCTTTATAAGGACAGGTTTTTACTTTCTACAGCAGTTAATAGACTTTTGAAGTAACTGTATCCCATTATTATGCTCATACAGTATACACAGCTTTTTAACGTACAGTAATAATGACACCTTTTTAAAAAAATAAAAAATTATATTTGCAGCTTATGCACATAAAGCTTGTGTGATCAAAAATAAATTGTATTTATTTATTGCACAAACGGTTGCTTTAGTCTCTCCGGGGATAGCATGCGCCTGCTGAAGTGGTGTGACATGTTCAATGAGCATTCCATTTATTTTACCCTCTAATAAAGTGTCTATTCATCATCACATGTGAGCTGAGGTTGCTGTTGAATACCATCTGCCGGTCCCTCAGGGTTTGGGGTTTGGTTCAAGCTGTGATTTCATACAACTTTTTCCTGCATTGAGAGGTCATGCTGCCAGAAAACAAATTGATACTCAGTTCAGCCTCAGTGCTTCAGCTCTCAGTCGAGCCAAGGACGGCATTTGCCTCCGAGACGCTGTGAATTCTGACGTTGTTTAATGAGAAGTGAGCGGACACATCTTTGTCTCATTTTCTGAGCTCTTCCAAAGCGACGGAGCCTTCAAGGGCACACGAGTGGCTTGTGCATTCGGTCGTTTTCTGTTGTTTGCTCTTTACAATCTAGTAAACCCTTTCAACTGGAAATCCTGATGTTTGGCTAAATCAATACCTTTAATTAGTGTTGATTAATGAAAGTGTGGCCGTGGTAGGCATACAGCTCTCTCATGTCACAAGGACACATTCTATTGGCAAACAGAGAAATTGCTTTAGATGTTAGGAATTTGATTTGCACACTTATAACAATGTAGATAAGACATAATGAAAGTATATGTAAAAACTGTGTAAGGACAATTTACATTTCTGAATGATTTAGAGAGGACTCACTAATTTGTTCTTAAAATATTCAATGAATGCAATTAACACTGGTTTGGATTCATGCAAGCTCAATAATCTCTTAATCACATGTGAATTAAAAGATTTGGAAGCACTCATCAGCACATATGCCGAGGAACAATTTCCCCCCGCAGGCCAGATATGTTTTTGGCAGTGTGAATAGTCTCTAGCAGCATATCTAGATTTGCAGTATACTGTGTTCTGTAGGAAAATAAGTATAATGGGTCCAGTCCACAAGGGCAAAGCATAGTCAGCTCATCGTTGTAAACTTGACTGTGATTTTGAGAACTAGTGAATACCTCAGTGTTCTGTAATATTTCAAGGCAGTGTTTGTTGTTTTGAACACTGTTTTTTCTGTCGAAGCCCCTCAAAAGTAGCAGCTTGAATGACCTTTATTCTGCAAATTAAGCTGTTTTTGTTTTGCGCTGACTGATAGATCTTATTATTTCAGCAAAATAGCATTGAGCAAATACCCTGGAGCCAAAGCAACTGTATTAACAAAAGTTAATGAAATATAGGAGGCAGAACCTGAACTTTTTGGTATGCTTTTAAAAGCTGTGGCATTTACATTTTGAGCGCCTGTGTAGGGGGAATAAAAACAATATAATGCAGCATACACCCACATCTGATCTCTTATATAACTATGTAAACATTCTAATGCTGGAGCTTTTACTCTATTGGTTGACATTAGCAAACAAAAGCTTGTTTGAGTCCTTTTTGTCATACTTTTTTTGTTTGTCTAAGTCTGTACGGTAAAAAAAGTCATGGTCAAGCATGATTTGCATTAACCAAGTTAAATAAGTGCAAAGTGATGCTAAATTTCTAAAACAGCATAGCAAGCTGGCATTGAAAAATAAGAGGAAATCTGCAATTTAGATTCTGCTTCAATTCTATGTTAGCTGTCCCAAAGGTCTGACCATGTCTGCATCTGATTACGCTTGCATGCATTTAATTAATAATTCGACAATGCACGGCATTGATGTCGGTCAGCCAGCACTCTGCAGGGGAATAGATTGCCTGAGCCTGATTTCCAGCCACAGCCTCTTAGCAAGGAGCAGAAACGATGAGCTCAGGCAGATTTCAGATACAGGGGCTTCAGTGTGGAGCAGTGTTAATCCCCCCCCCCTCCCTCAGGTGCAGGCGCTCTTGGGGAGTAACGCCACGGACCACAGCTCTCCCCACCGATGCTTGGCTGCGCTCTGATTAATGCACTCATCAGTTCTTTTCTTGTTTGTTTTAATGACAAGCATGTCCCTTGTGGGAATCTGGTGACTTTTTGCAAATACTGCTGATGATTCTGCTTACACCTGCCACTTTTTTCCTTTCTTGTCTTGTGAAAGGAACGTTACCATAAAGCCTGAATCTTTTTGACATGACTAGGTTGTCAGTGGGAGAGCAGGGAACCACACGACACATTCTCCAACCGAGATACAGGAAGTACATGAGCTGAGGAAATGAGCAGTGATAAGATCCCAGCGTGTTGGGATGTGTTGTGCTTTGTTGATAAGGCTATTATTCATCCTTATGCCTTAGACAGCAAAAATCCACTTCGCCATCTCAGGCATATGCTTTTTATGCATAGTCGACTTTGCAGTTTGTTGTACTTGCTTTTATAATTACAGTAATTACTGTAAAGTTTTAAAATGATTAAATCACAAATTTAGGCGGTAAAGAATCCAGAGATAATCAGTGAGCATCCTAAATGTTGGCTTTTCTTTTCATTGTAAGATCATGCGTTTAAAGATGAATGTTAATTTGACAGCATCAAAAATGTACTGAGAGGCTATAAGAGAGTATAACAAATTGTGGAAATCAGTTAAAATGTATATTATTACTTTCATAAGTGAAGCCAGTTTTTTCTACCTTCCTTTTTGTTTTTTTAAACTCAACAATACCCATTCCTGTTAAACAAACTCAAACATGAACTGCATCCTGCAGTGTGAGCTTTTCATGGGTCTTAATTATATATCTATTAGGTTGTGTTTTGATGATCAAACAATATTTCTTCATGAATTAAAATTCCTAACAACATGTGTAATTAACATGAAACGCTGACCTGCACTTGAACTCTTAAGGACACAACCTAGGTTGTTCAATAAGTATGACAGTAAGTCCTGTATAGGCTATCTGACACATGCATACTCATTATTATTATTCAGTATTCACATTTCATATTATACAGTAATTCTGCAGCATGATGGATGATCATCATCCTGACAAATGCAGACAGGGAAGACTTGTGGTCATGCCACATTTGGCTGCATATATTTGACTGATGATTAAAGTGGACAATGATTCTCTGTGCTCAACTGTCCATTAATACTGTGATGCCTATTAGAGTG